GTCACAAAAAAAAAAAAAAAAAAAGCTGGGCATTGTGGCCAGTGTATGTAGTCCCAGCTGCTTGGGGAGGCTGAGGCAAAAGAATTGCTTGAGCCCAAGAGTTTGGGGTTGCTGTGAGCTGTGACGCCAAAGCACTCTAACCAAGGGTGACATAGTGAGACTCTGTCGCCAAAAAACAAACCAAAAAAAAACTCTAGTGAGGGACAGTGCCTATGGCTCAAAAGGGCAGGGCACCAGCCCCATATGCCAGAGGTGGTGGGTTCAAACCCAGCCCCAGCCAAAAAAAAGAAAAAAAAGCTCTAGTGAACTCTAGTGATAGTTCATCCTTAAGGAAGTAAATTCCATCCTGAAGCTAAATTGTCTTTTCTGCAAAATGGGGATAATTATACCATCTTCCCAGCCTTACTTTACTGATTTAACTCATCATTCAACAATGATTCACTGAGTATCCTCTCTGTTCCAGGCATTGTTCCAGGTGCTAGGGACACCATAGTGAACTAGACTGAGAAAAATTTCTGCCCTCATGGCACTCTAATTAAGGGAGACAGATAATAAAGCAGACCAAGGAGAAAAACCCAGAGTATGTCAGAAGGTGTTACGAGCCAATGATAAAAATCTAAAATAAAGCAAAAAAGGGAAAAGGAGTGAGGCTAAAATTTTATATTGAGGCCAGTGAAGTCTTCACTAGGAAGGTAACACCTTAAGTGAACACTAGAAGGAAGCAGGGTACAGTGTCTCACACCTGTAATCCTAGCACTTTGGGAGGCTGAGGTGGGTAGATTGCCTGAGCTCAAGAGTTTGAGATCAACCTAAGCAAGAGCGAGACCCCATCTCTACCAAAAATATAAAAGTCTGCTGGGCATCATGGTAGGCACCTGTAGTCCCAGCAACTGGGGAGGCTTAGGCAAGGGGATTGCTTGAGCCCAAGAGTTTGAGGTTGCTGTGAGCTATGATGTTATGGCATTCTACCCAGAGTAACAGAGTAAGACTCTGTCTGAATAAAAAAAGGAAAAGACTGGAAGGAACAGGTGAGTCATGTAGACATGTATGAAAATAACCATATAGCATATGCAATGGCCCTGTGGTGGAGCTCACCTGGGAGGTCTAAGGTACACTGTGGGAGACTGACTGAGGTGGTGGCATCAGGATACAAACAATGATGTAAAGTGATGCACAAAGCAGTCCCCTGTGCTCTGGCTTGTCCCAACCTGTCCCACCTCATCAGCCACCATGACCCACCCCATGTGTTTAGGCCTCTGTATACTTCTGTTCCTGCCACCTGGCATGTCTTTCCCACCTACTCCCATATGTCACCCTTTCCTCATCCTTCAAATCCCAGCTGAGATATTTCTTCTAGGAAGCCTTCTCTGATTCTTCAAAGTGGAGTCAGGTACCTCATCTAGGTGCCCCATCCCCTGGGCTTCCTGATCCTAACCCAGACTACTCTAGGCTGTCACTATCTGGTGATGGGTCTGCCTCTCACGATGCTGGGCTGGGGGTTCCATGAAGTTAGGACCTATCTTGAGTATCACATAAGGCAAAGCACTGCAAATATTTGTTGAATAAGTAAATGAATGAGGGTAGGGAGGCCTCACGTGGATGCGGCAGCCATCATCTACAGGGTAGGAGCCCAGCAATGCATCTTCCTGATCCAGCTTGCTGTAGAACGTGTCGTCAGGACCATACAGCTCCAGTTCCATGCAGGAAGCAGGGCTGCCCACCACCAGCTCCAGTTTACACTGCAAGGACAGTGTAGGGTGAGGAGAAAGGCTACCAGTGGCCCCGCCCTCTTCCTTGAGGCTCTGCCACTTGTAGCAATAAATTCTCACCCCATCCTGCTCCTCCAAAAGACCCACCACTTAGGACACACAAAGTCCCGCCCCTCTCCGGCCTCTGCTAGTACCCTCACTCTCTGGACCACTTGATTTTCCCCTAGCCCCGCCCCCACCCTCTGGAATCTGGCGTTCACTCTGGACCAGCCCCACCGCCGCCCCATCCCGGGTCTCTGCATCCTCAGATTATCTCTGGACCCGCCCTATTGCTCTCTAGCCCCTCCCCGCGTTCGGGAAGCTCCTCCATTTCTCCTTTGCCCCGCCCCTCCCGACCCCGCCCCCACGGCCACACCTTGAACTCAGCGATGGTGAGGCTGCGACTGTACCGCTTCTGAGAGCGGAAGCTGTTAAGGGAGCTGCTGATAAAAACGGTCACTGTGGGCGCCGTGATCCCCGTCACCTCCATGTCGCCGCACCCTGCCGGGGCCCACAGCCCGGTTCTGCCGCCTCACACCGGCTCCGCAGCCGCCGCCGCCGCTTCTGGGATGTTAGTCCCGCCCCCTTATCCAGACCTGACCAATCCACGCTGTCCTGCAACAAGGGTCTGCCAATCGCCGTTGTCTCTTCGCTGCAGCCAGGAAGAGAGGGCTCCCATGTTCTTGGGTCGCCCCAGCCAATCCAGAGAGGTCTTCCATGGTTCCCAGTTCTTCCAATAGTGGCACGAGAAGCGGCCCGGGCGGACAAGCCAAGGCTGAAGCCAAGAGGAAGGACTGGCATGAGGTATCCTGGTTGCGAAGGGTAACCTCGCGCATGTGCACTGGCCTCCAGCCAAGCAGAGAACAATGGCTTCTTCCGTTTTTGCTTACAGCTTTGCAGATTACACTGAGCATCGTTTTCCCGGCTCTTGTACCAAATCCATACTATTCTGTAAACTGGGGAGGAGAGACCCAGAAACTGGAAGCAATCTAAGAAGTCTAAGACATAAGAAGATTGAAGCAAAGCAATCAACCTCAGCGCGGAGAGAACCTGGCACTAGGCTGCTGGGAGAACGTACTTGAGCTCAACTCCGCCCCTCTTTTGGCGAAGCAACTAGGTCTGACCCTCCCCGCGACCAGTAACGCGGCGGAGCAAGCGCAGAAGACGCTGCGAGCTGTGTGTAGTAGCCATGGAACCAGACGGGACCTACGAGCCGGGCTTCGTGGGTATTAGGTTCTGCCAGGAATGGTGAGGCTCCTGGAGCAGATGTGGAAAGGGAGCCAGGAATAGCTCTAGGACTGATTTCTGACCTCCTCTCCCCACAGTAACAACATGCTGTATCCCAAGGAGGACAAGGAGAACCGTATTCTGCTCTACGCGGTGAGCACGAGCCCGCGGAGCGCCCATCTTCCTCTACCATAATAGTCTACCGGTTCCCAGCGCGGCCCCGCCCTACCCCGTGTAACACCTACTCCCTGTTCGCACCTAATTACCCCTACCCCGGGGATTAACGTCAGGACTTTATCCCGGAGTTCTTGCGGGGATCATTTTGTCCCTCCCAGTCCCAACTCTCTTGTGACTGTCTTACATCCCCGCCCGCCCTTTCTCAGTGCAGGAATTGTGATTACCAGCAAGAAGCTGACAATAGCTGCATTTACGTCAACAAAATCACGCATGAAGTGGAGTGAGTGGAGGGACCAGAGCTTGGGGGAGGGAGTGTTGACTTTGGAGGCCGATCTAAGCATAATTATTCATCCTGCTATCCCTGCAGCGAGCTGACCCAGATCATCGCTGACGTGTCCCAGGACCCCACGTTGCCACGGACCGAGGATCACCCGTGCCAGAAGTTGGTACTGGGGAGGGAAAGTGGCTCACCCTCACTGGGCAGAGAGGGGAGGAGGGAAGGGTGCCAAGCTCTGTGTGATGAACCCATCCTCTCAGGTGTGGCCACAAGGAAGCGGTGTTCTTCCAGTCACACAGTGCCCGGGCCGAGGTGAGTGGCACAGCTGCTTTCTATCTGGGGCTTAGTGGTTTCTGGGGGTGGTGATACCAATATTGGTGTGACAATGCCCATCCTGAAATTCTGGGCCAGACCTTTACTGACTGGGAGTATTCTCATGTACATTTTGGGTGAGGGACTGCGGGGTGGAGGGTTCCATGTTGTACCTTACCTTGGTTACAGATCTTTTCCAATCATATGTCCTTTCCGCTAGGATGCCATGCGCTTGTACTACGTGTGCACAGCGCCACACTGCGGCCACCGCTGGACTGAGTGACACCCTTCTCCCCCAAATTAATAAATGCTAGGTTCTGTGCGTGGGTTTCCTGTGTTTATTTGCCGCAGGGGGAGGACACGGGTACACCCTCTCAGGTGGCGCGGTGTAGGGCACAGTGCTGTGCGTAGGCATCGGGCCTGGCACTGGTGAAGCCGCAATCCTCGCACACGTGGAGCTTCTCCCGGCGCTCACGGTAAGCGTAACTGGCCGGCTGCCCATGCACCTTAGCGAGATGAGCTTCGAGGGAGCAGCGCTGTGTAAATGCTTTCCCACAAGCACTGCACCGGAAGGGCCGTATCCCTGCACAAATAGGGTGAGGGATGGAGAGGCAGTGACCGCTGTAGTAAAGCCTTCCTGTCCTGCCTTCCAATGTTCAGCGTTCAGTCTCTATTCCAAGCTCTTCAGCCTTCCCGCCTGTGACCCACCATCTGCATCCTCACTTTTCCTCACCAGGATGTCCCTTCCCCTGCGGGTACATTCCTTTGCACCCTTCAGTCTGGGGCTTGAATCTGTAACTAGCACCCATTTTCACTGCACTCCTTATCAGGCCTCTACCTTGGTACCACCCTACACCCACCTGCTGGGGTCTGAAGTACCCCATATCTCAAACTTCCCGATGGCTGTGTCCCTGCCCTAAGTACACAAACACTGGAAATTCCACATCCCTGGTATATCTATAGGATTCTATCCCCACCTTGGTCCCAGAAGCCCTTCCTGTCCCTGCTATGGCTTACCAGTGTGAGTCCTCATGTGGCGCTTGAGGTCGAAGGCGTCATGAAAGCCCTTGCCACAACAGTGGCACACGTGGCGGCGTGCTGGGCTGTGGCACTTGAGGTGCCGCGTCAGCATGCGCTGCAGTGGGAAAGCCTTGGGACAAAGTGGGCAGCCAAGCTTCCCTGGGCCCCTTGGAGCAGAGGCCAGGGTGCCCTGTGTGGGCTGCTGGAGGGATATAGGAGTTAGTTCCTCTGGCTAGACCCTTCTTAGTCTTTACTACTCTACGAACAAGTATTTGTGGAGTGCTCAGAGCCAAGGAAGACTAGGAAGACCAGAACCGCATTAGTGTGAGTGCATGTGACTCTTCCCAAGTTAGTTCTCACTGACTCCCCAGGGCCTTCCCTTACCATCCATCACCCTTATCTTCATTTCTCCATCACATTCACATCGGTCCATCTTCTCATGTAACATATGTATTTATTTATTCATTTGTTTTGAGACAGAGTTTCACTTTGTTACCCCTACTAGAGTGCAGTGGCATCATCATAGCTCACTGCAACCTCAAACTCCTGGGCTCAAGTGATCCTGCCTCAACCTCTGAAATAGCTGGGATTACAGGGATGTGCAACTACGATGCCACAGCTAGTTTTTCTTTCTTTTTTTTTTGAAACAGAGTCTTACTTTGTTGCCCTTGATAGAGTGCTGTGGCATCATAGCTCACAGCAAGCTCATACTCTTGGGCTTGGATGATTCTCTTGCCTCAGCCTCCCAAGTAGTTAGGACTATAGGCACCTGCCATAATGCCTGGCTATTTTTTAAGAAACAAGGTCTCGGCTCGGCGCCTGTGGCTCAAGCGGCTAAGGCACCAGCCACATACACCTAAGGTGGCGGGTTCGAATCCAGCCCGGACCTGCCAAACAATAATGGCTGCAACCAAAAAATAGCCGGGCGTTGTGGCAGGTGCCTGTGGTCCCAGCTACTTGGTAGGCGTAGGCAGGAGACTCGCTTGAGCCCAGGAGTTGGAGGTTGCTGTGAGCCCTGAAGCCATAGCACTCTACCCAGGGGGACAACTTGAGGCGCTGTCTCAAAAAAAATAAATAAAAAAAGAAACAAGGTCTCGCTCTGGCTCAGCCTAATCTCGAACCTGTGAGCTCAGGCAATCCACCACCTGCCTCAGCCTTCCAGAGTGCTAGGATTACAGGTGTGAACCACTGCACTCAGCCTTTTCTTTCTGTTTTTTTTTT